ATTATGATATTTCCACAAAATGTTATACTTCCAGTTACTTTTGGAAAATTGTTAGATGAAGTCACACCGGGCCACAGTCTCACATGTCCATTTCACTGCCCCCAGCAGATGGAGCAGGTGCTGTCCAGCTCCCTCCAGCCTTCACCGCGTCCTACTGTCTTATTCCTGACCCAGGAAGTTCATTTTCATTGAATGAAAGCATCTGTAATATAAATCTCTGACTAAATCACCACATAGCTCAGCTTCATCATCCTTAAAATAGGACAGGTCATCTTTTAACCTGTCTCTAAGTACTCCTGCAAGGATCAGAGAGACTGGATGCAAAAGCATTTAGCACAGTGTCTGACATGTAATAGCTATAAACGGTAGCTGCTATTACTACTTACTACTAACAACAACATAACAATAGCATCTAAGGAATGAATTCTTTACTGGCTGCAGTGCAATAGGTTTCTCTTCATATATGGTGTAAAAATTGCACGGTGGCATCTGACCTCCTCTAACGTCACGAGGGGGGAGAATCACCATCCGCATCAGCATCAGCCCAAAGCTGATCCCTATTGAAGTGGAGGTCAAATATACCTCCACCTTCCAATCTTTTTAACCAATTCTGACACCAGCCGTCCCTCCAACGTCAATCTCTACTTCTCTGCTAGGTTCGATAATTCATTGCAATGGCCACACAGATCTCACAGACCATACTCATAGTTGTGGGGTTTATGAGAGAAGTAACAGGTTACAGCTCAGGATCAGGATCAGGAAGCATGTAGGCAAAGTCTCCCTTCTTCAGTGCAGGACAGCTCTCTCAGCTCCTCTTGGCCCCCTGAAGACAGGCTCCTCTTGGCTCCCTGAGGACAGGCTCCTCTCAGCCTCCTCAGGACAGGTTCCTTCTCTCGGCCCTCGGCCCTTGGCGCTGCTCAGTCAAGTGTTACAAAGCTCTTTAGCTCCTCTGATAAGTGTCCAGAGGCACCCCACTCCACCAGGAAGCCTCCTGCCTGGAGGTGCTCAGCTCCTACTCCATGGGTCAGCACATCCACTGTAGCCACCTCGTTCTGTGGGCCAGGAAGCCCAGTGTGTCATCTCCTGCCGGTCTCCTGGTTCTGCTGCTGCTGTTTCTCTGCCACGCTTGCCACCACTTCTTGCTGTTTTGCACCTTCTCCAGTGTTATAGATCGCTGTCTCCTGGGTATAGGAGGTTCTCAGCACAGAGACCGCAGGTCCAAAAGGCATGCTCCACTCTTGGCTCTTCTTTCGTGATGGTAGTGTGGTCCCCCTTTTCCACCTCTGAGATGGCTCATTTTAACCCTACTGGGATGGCAAAACTGACCAATCCCCTCATTAGGGTTCCACGCACCTTATTTGCATTGTTAGCAAGCTCTCCAGTCCCCTTGGTGGGTCATAAGCACCTTATCTGCAAAATCCCAATCACTGTGTGGGAGTCACAAAGACTAAGACAAGAAGGGCCATATTAAGTAATTCACTGCACTGTGTATGGCCTTTCAGGCCTTGGGTTTATAATTTTGCCAAAAATGATTGATTGAGCTGAAGTCTGTCCTGTGGTTGGTCTGTTTTATGCACCTTGCAGGGACTGGTCGATTTGCTATGCAAACAGTGGCTTGAAAATCTACCCAATAGGACTGAATGAATTGTGGGGATTGGTCAGTTTAAGGTCCTGCCGAGAAGGCCATGCCTTGAAATTGACAAGGTGGTTGCTTACATTAAGTAGCCAACTCCACAGAGTGGGTGGGGGACCTCACTAACATCAAGAAGAATCTGGAGCACAGCATGTCCTTTGGACCCAGGGTCCCTTTACTGAGAACCTCCTAGACCCAGAAGAGAAAGTTATAACACTCAAGATAGCAAGCAGCAGAGAAAAGCAATGTACTGCTGAACGGCAGAGAAACAGTGGCAGCAATACAAGTAGCAGGAACCACGAGACTGGCAGACGGTGGCAGTGGGCAAGTCAGCCCATGGAGCAGAGCTGGACATCTCCAGGCACCTGGTAAAGGGAAAGCAGCTGCAGTCTGGGCCCATGCAAGCAGACGCCTCAGCAAAGCAAGTGAAGTGTCAGGGCTGAGCTTACCTGTCTTTGGTGGCAGGTGATGCACCAGCTGTGCTGAGAGCTGTAACCCTAAAGCCTAGAAGGGCCCAGTGGTAGAGGCTTTGGAGATCCTGTGCAGGAGTCCTCCCGCTGGCGAGGCAAGACCCCACCCATTGTTGTCCAGTTGATTCCAACTCATACCGATCCTATAGCAGAGTAGAACTGCCCTATAGGGTTTCCAAAGCTGTAAATCTTTATGGAAGCATACTGTCACATCTTTCTCCCATGGATCAGCTGGTGGGTTCGAACCGCCGACCTTTTGATTAGGAACCAAGCACTTAAACACTACCCCCACTTGCTCCTTCAAGGCAAGGCCCAGTGAGGCCCAATGGCAGAGCAGAAGTCTTGGGAGCCACGCAAGCCCCCTGGGCAGTGTGGTGGTAGCAGAAGGCAGAGAGGCATGCATGGGCCAAGGGGGATGTGCGCACAGCTGAGAAGGGTACATGCACAGCCAAAAGCAGCCAGGAGTGCTGTCCTGATTGGAAGCTGTCTTGATTGACAAACTGCATCCTGTCTCCTGAGTTACTTCCAAGTTGATCCTGATCCCAACTTGTAGCCTGTTATTTCCTTAATAAACCACCTAACCGTGAGTATAGTCTATGAGTTCTGTGTGGCCATTGCAATGAATTATTGAACCCAGCAGAGAGGTAGAGAGTACTGCAGGGGGAATGACTGGTGTCAGAAATGGTAAAAAAAGTTGGAAAGTAATGTCTGACCTCCACCTCCTAGTAACAAGCTTTATGCTGATCTTGATTCTTATCCCTTGTGGATGTAGACATGTCCTGACACTAGACTATATCTGCTGAGTTCATGCCTCAGAGAGAATCCTCAAAACAAACTTGGAAGATCCTGAGAAACTCTGCCATCAGCCATGTGGTGCAATGGATCACTTTTTTCACTTGGGTGGGACTACACAAATAAGGTAATCGTGGCCCGCCAAGGGGATTGGATAGCTTGCTAATAATGCAAATAAAGTTCATGGCACCCATGTGGGGGTGGTACCATGCAAATAAGGTCTATGGAACGCTAACAAAGGGATTGGTCAGTTTTGCCATCCTGCTAGGCTTAAAATGAACCATCCCAGAGGTGGGAAAGGAGGATCTCACCACCACCAAGAAAGAAGAGCCGGGAGTAGAGCACATCCTTTGGACCTGGGATCCCTGCACTGAGAAGCTGCTGGAACCAGGAGACTGAGAGACAGAGACAGAGAGAGGGCTGTAACACTGAAAACGGCGAGAAGCAACAGCAGAGAAATGGCAGCAGCAGAACCAGGAGACTGTGCAGTGGGCCAGGAGCCCACAGAAAGAGAAAGCTGAGCATCTTTGGGCAGGAGACTTGCTGGAGGAGTAGGGTGCCTCCGGGCACTTAGTGGAACTAGGTTTGCTGACCCACGGAGAGCTGAGCGCCTTTGGGCCAAGGCTTACTGGCAGAGTGGAGTGCCTCTCAGCACTTATCGGAAGAGCTAAAAGAACTTTGTAACACTTGCCTGAGCAGGGCAGAGGCCAAGGGACCAGAGAGAGGCATGCCTGCAGGCACAGCTGAGAAGAGGCTGTCCTGATGGAAGAACTATATCCTGAGCGTTCCTGAACCTGAATTGTAACCTGTTACTTCCCTGATAAACTCCATGATCATGAGTATTGTTTGTGAGTTCTGTGTGGCCATTGCAATGAATTATGGATGCTTGGTCAGAATTGGTAAACACAGCAGAGATAGGACACATGTCTGACCTTTGCCTCATAGAAATCAGCCTTGGGCTGTTGATCTTGATTCTCCTTCCTCTTTGTGAAGTCAGAGGAGGTCAGACACTACCCCCACACCATTTTTACATGCTACCTCCCTGAAGTCACATCTTGTGATAGCCACCCTTCATCCTGCTTGGTCTTAGATGCAGCGTCTGCCCACCAGAGGTCAATCATAAATGACTTGAAAATCTTCTGGAATCAGACCTCATTGGAATAGGTGGTGTTGTTAGCTGCTGTCAAGTCAGCCCCCAACTCATGGTAACCCCATACACAATGGGATTGGACTGTTGTAATCCATAGGGGTTTTCACTGGCTGATTTTTGGAAGTAGATCACCATGCCTTTCTTCCTAGTCCATCTTAGTCCGGAAGCTCCACTGAAACCTGTTCAGCATCATAGCAACACACAAGCTTCCACTGACAGACAGGTGGGGGCTGTGCGTGAGGTGCGATGGCTTGGAATCAAACCCAGGTCTCCCACATGGAAGGTGAGATTTCTGTCACTGAACCACAATTGCCCCCATGTGATTCAAACCCTAACTCTCCTAGTTTTCTCAGGAACTCACAAGGTTATGCACAGTCGGACAGCAAGCCAAGGTTCCCAGCCTGGGTTCACGTCACAATCTCCCGAAAAGCTTTTAAAATTTCAGATTCCCAGGTCCTTGCAGAGCTGCTCAAATTCAGATTCTCAGGTGGAATTTCACTTTTATACAGCATTCTGGGCACCAGGTGTCTTAGGCTGAGTTCTCTAGAGAAGCAAAACCAGTAAAGCATATAAATATATATAGAGAGAGAGTTACATCAAGAAAATGGCTCACGCGGTTGTGGAGGCTGGAATGTCCTGAGTTCATGGGTCAGGATAGAGGCTTCTCCTGATTCACAGAGCTGCAGGGGCTGGCAACTTAAGATCGGCAGATCAGAGAGCAGGGCTCTTGTTCACAGGCTGCGAAGATAGACGAATCCTAAGATCGGCAGGCAAGACCGCAGGTAAGCTACTAGCTCAAGTCCCAAGAACCGGCGGTCAGACGAACAGGAGCCAGCTGCAGGATCCAGAGTGAGCAAAAGCCACGAGCACTGCCAGAATGTCCACTTATATTCAATGCAGGCCACACACCCAAGGAAATTCCCTTTCAACTGACTGGCTACTCATACCAGATTCCATCATGGAGGTGATCACATTATATCAAATCTCATCATGGACATGCTCACAATATCATACGACTGCCAAACCACTGAGAATCATGGCCCGGTCAAGCTGACACACAACCTTAACCATCACACTAGGCATTAACAGATTTTAGAAAGCACTGCTGCAGAGGAGGGAAAAGTCCACGAAACTGGAAAGTGCTCATCTCTTCTCTGAGGGGCAGCAGCACCTCCTAAAAGACAGCCTTGGGGAGTCTGTTGTTTCTATTTAGGTTCCAGCACCACCACTACGTCAGTGTGGACCTGGGGGACTCTCTCTTTGAGCTTCAGTTTTGGATTATGCAACAGTTCACATGCCCACTCTTTTATTCACACCTGGGGCTTCAATTCCATCTATATGCCCAGGACTCCCAGGGCAGGCTTGTTCTCTGAGCTCTAAACCCTCACACAGAACTTTTCCTCAACATCTCTACTGAACTTTCCCCAAGGCACCTCAATCTCAACATGTCCAAAACTGAATATATGGCATTCCCCTGAATCCAGATCCTCTTCTGGTGTTCTCCATAAAAACCAGTTGCTGTCCAGTCAACTCTGACTCATGGCAATCCCATGTGTGTCACAGTAAAACTGCACTCCATAGGGTTTTTAATGACATTTTTTGGAACTAGATAACCAGGTGTTTCTTCCAAGGTGCCTCTGGGTGGACTCAAACCACCAACCTTTCAGTTAGCAGATGAGCACACTAGCCATTTGTACTACTAAGGGACTCCCTGGTGTTCTCAGCCACAGTGAAATCCTCTACCATCTATCCATCTGTGCAAGCCAGGAACATAGGTGTGGTCAGCCGTGATGCCCTTCTCTACCTCACCTCCCCCACAGTCAATCCGCCATATAGGCCTGAATGTGCCTTTATCACTCTGTCACCTACACTCAGGAATATTAGGGTAGGCTATGCTGCACTACTAAATAGAATCTGAACATGTAATTGCGCAATACAGTGGAAGTTTGTTCCCTATAGATTAATAGTCCCAGGGGATGTTCAGGTCAGAGAAACAGCTCTCCTCCATATAGTCATTTAAGGACCCAGGCCGCTTCCATCTTGTGGCTTTGCTGTCTCCTAGAGCCTTATCATCCTTGTGCAGCTGGCAGAAGGGAAAGGGGCACAGAGGAGCTAGCATGGGAGGCTTTAATGGTTCGGGCTTGGAAGCAGCACATGTCGCTTCTGCTCAGATTCCACTGGCTTGAACTCTGTCATGTGGCTTCACCTTACTTCAAAGGGCACTGGGAAGTGAGCTTAGAAGCAGCCTGCATAAAGAAAGCAAGAACATTAGTATAAGGATAGACATATGGATCAATGGAACAGAATTGAGAGTAAAGACACAGACTGATACATTTATGGCTAACTGATTTTCAACAAGGGTGACAAGTCCATTCAATGAAGAAAGAAGAGTTGCTTCAACAAATAGTGCTGGGGCAACTGGATTTCCACATGTAGAATGAACTCGGACCCCTACTTCACACCGTATATGAAAATTAACTCAAAATGGATCAATAATCTAAATATAAGAGCTAAAACCATAAAACTCTTGGAAGAAAACATAGGGAAAAACTTCAGGACCTTGGACTTCATAATAGATCCTTAGATGTGACACCTAAAGCACTAGCAACAAAAGATAAAATAGATAAACTGGACTTCATCAAAATTAAAAAACTTTTGGGCATCAAAGGACATTGCCAAGAAAGTGAAAAGACAATCTACAGGATGTGAGAAAATATTTGGAAATCACGTATCTGATAAGGGTTTAATATCCAGAATATATGAAGAACACCTACAACTCAACAACAAAAAGATGAACAACCCAATCAAAAAATGGGCAAAGGAGGGGCGGGGGTCTGGGGACCATGCTTTCAGGGGACATCTAGGTCAATTGGCATAACAAAGTTGATTAAGAAAATGTTCTGCATCCTACTTGGGTGAGTGGCATCTAGGGTCTTTAAACCTTGCAAGCGGCCATCTAAGATGCATCAATTGGTCCCAACCACTTGGAGTAAAGGAGAATGAAGAACACCAAAGACACAAGGAAAGTAGTAGCCCAAGAGACAGAAAGGGCCACGTGAACCAGAGACTTCATCAGCCTGAGACCTGAAGAACTAGATGGTGCCCAGCTACCACTAATGACCCCCTCTGACAGGGAACACAACAGAGAGTCCCTGATGGAGCAGGAGAAAGGTGCGGTGCAGAACTCAAATTCTAGTAAAAAGACCAGACTTAGTGGTCTGACTGAGACTAGAGGAACCCCAGAAAGCATGACTCTCTGTCAGCCCAGAACTAAAACAATTTCCAAGGCCAACTCTTCAGACAAAGATTGGACTGAACTGTGGGATATAAAATGATACTCGTGAAGAGTGTGCTTCTTAGCTCAAGGAGATACATGAGACTAAACAGGCAGCTTCTGTCTGGAGGCGAGATGAGAAGGCAGAGAGGGTTAGGAGCTGGTTGAATGGACACGGGAAATCAGAGGTGTAAAGGAGGAGTGTGCTGTCACAGTATAGGGAGAGCAATTAGGGTCACATAACAATGTATGTATAAATTTTTGTATAAAAGACTAACTTGAAATGTAAACTTTCACTTAAACTATAACAATAAACCAAAAATTTTTTTAAAAAAATGGTCAAGGGACTTGGATAGATGTTTCTCCAAAGAAGATATGCAAGTAGCCAACAAGTACATGCAAAGATGCTCAACATCATTAGTCATTAAAAAAATGCAGATCAAAACCACAATAGGACACCACTTCACATACACTAGGGCGATATTACCAGAAAAATGGAAAATAACAAGTGTTGGTGAGGATGTGGAGAAACTGGAACCTTTACCCACTACTGGTAGGAGTGTGAAATGGTGTAGCAGCTGTGAAAAACAGTTTGGCAGTTCCTCAAAAAGTTTAAACATAGTTACTGTATGACCCAGCAATTCCACTCCCAAGAGAAATGAAAATATATGTGCACACAAAAATTCACACAAGAGAGTTCATATCAGCACTATTCACAATAGCCAAAGGGTGGAAACAACCCAAATGCCCATCAACTAATGAACGGATAAACAAATTGCAGTATATCCACACAGTGGAATATAATCCAGCCATAAAAAGGAACGACATCCTGATACACGCTATGACACGGATAAACCTTGAAAACATTATGCTAAGTGAAAGAAGCCAGACACGGAAGAATAAATATTGTATGATTCTATGTACAGTGAAACCTGTGAGAGCTGGAACTTGATGGAACTGCCTTGTTTTTCCAGCACTCGTGAGTTTTCCACCTTTGACAGGGTACCGTCTCACCACTTTTCTATAGCTTCTTTAAGTGCAAAATATTTTCGCTTTCCTTGTCTGTGTAAGGTTTCCACTTTATACAGGTTCAGGCTTTCGCAGGTTTCACTGTACATGAAATATCCAGAACAGAAGAATCTATAGAGACAGAAAGCAGATTAGTGGTTTCCCGGGACTGAAGAGGGGCAGGAAGTGGAGCGTGACTGCTTAATGGGTGTGCAGCTTCCATTTGGGGTAATGAAAAATTTCTGGGATTAGATAGTGGTGACGGTTGAACAACACTGTGAATGTATTTAATGTGCTAAATTGACATTAAAATGGTTAAAATGGTAACTTTATGTCATGTGTGTTTCATCACAATTTTTAAAAAAAGGCAAAAACATATTGTGGTGCACAGTCTTCACAGTCTTCACCACAAGAGCCTTTCAAGAACTGTGTCTTCACGACCCTGAAGGGAACCTAGAAGAGGCACTCAGTCAGCCAGTCTGCCTTTCAATGAACTTCACCCAGCGCCTGTCCTTTGAGTCCCCCAGTCGCCATCATCAGAGGCAGCCCCTGCCCCAGAAGCTGATTCAGCTGTGGACGGCAGACAGAATACTTGCCGTGTAGTGAGATGAGTGTTGTGTCGGGGAAGCACTGGGGTAACACGGACACGTAGGAGGATCACCGAACAAAGTTGGGCAGGTGGGATAGGACAAGGCTTCCCAGAGGAGCCGCCTGAGCTGCATCCTGAAGGCTGACTGGGAGTTATTCAGGCAGAGATTGGAGAGAAGGGGGTCCAGGCAGAGGAAAGCGACTGGGCAAAGGCCCTAAGCCTGAGAAAGCAGAGACTGGAGAACTGCAAGTAGCTCCATACATGAGAGAGAGGAATTGAGACTGCCCAGTTAGACGGGGCATTACACGTGATCGTAAAGGGTTCAGATTTCTCCCACAGGAAACAGGAAGTCATCGAATACTATCACCGCATCACTATAATGATAGTCCAGGTGAGGGATGAGACATTCAGGAGCGAGAGTTGGTAGGACTGTGTGTTCCTGCACGGTTATGACTTGACTCCGTGCATATGGGCAGGAAGGCCTGAAAGCTAGACTGGAACCCCAGGGTGGAGAGCCTCGAATGCCAGGCCGTGCAGGGCAGTGGGCAGATGCTGACTGCCTCTCTCAAGGAGAGAACCACACCACCCCAGGCAATGCTGCCCCTTGCTTCTTGGCTGAGCCTGCCTCTGGTGGCCCAGTCTGCTTCCTCCATTTCATTAGTCCCTAATGGTTAGAAAAGTTCCGAGCAATGATACATTTCAAAGATCACGTTCAAATTCCTCATTAATAGAGAAGAAAACAGAAGGTCAGAGAAGGCCAGTAACTTGTCCAGCGGCACCAGACCTGGAACCCAGCTCAGGCCTCCAAACCCCTGGTTAGGGCTCGTCAGCACTGCCAGCAGCTCCTTTAAGACTCAGGCATTTAGGTCTAATCAGACCAGAGGGAAAGAGGCAAGAGGTGCATCAGAGGTTTTCATCCCTCGAGTGCTAAGGATGAAAGACCACAGAGATACGGACCAAGAAGCCCAGCCTCTCACCTGCAAGGGGAGAAACAGGAAGCCACAGACGGGCACCATCTCCTAGGCACAGACACAACTACCTTCTCCCTCCACTGCAGAGGGAGGTTCTGCCACCACTGGGGGAGGCAAAGCTGGCTCCATGGGTGCGAGCAGCAAGTGCTCAGAGTGGTGGCGGTGGCATCTGTTCCCAACACCAGGGCAGGACTCCCAGGCAGGGGAGTTGGAAGGCTGGTGATTGAGGAGAGAATTGGGTGGCTTACAGAGAAAGGAATAGTCTCCACAGGGAAAACAGCCAGAAGTTTTCTCCTGCCTTGAAAAGGAAGGATTCTTCAGCTGAATGCTGCATCTTAACATTGTTTCCACATTCTGCCAGTGAACTGGTCTGATTACTTCTGCAACTAGGGGCCCTGGTCTAGGCTGTGTGTGGAAGACAAGTGCACATCGTCTCCTGATTCAGGCGTCCAGAGAGGGAAAGTCCTCGGGGAGGCCCTCGTCCCATACTCACTCACCCGGCCAATTGCTCAGCAACCTCCTGCTTCTTGCTATTTATCTTGCTCCATGGCTATGGGGTGAAGAATTTAACTTAACCGAAAGTAATTTGCTGTTTGCCCTGGTTTCTTTGGAATTTCCTGAGTAATTGAGGATTTGTGCAAATGAATTGGGGGCTGGCTGCCTGATATCAGGGAGGGAAGATATGATTCAATTAATCATGCCTATGCAATGAGGCCTCAATCATGACTATGGAATAAGGCCCCAATAAAGGTTCTGGACACAGAAGCTCCATGGGCTTCCTGGTTAATGAAAGACATCTACACATGTGGGACGGTAGTGCTTCATATTGAGAATCCTCTCAGACCTTGTTCTCTGAGTCTCTTTGTTTGTATCTTTTTTTGCTTTAATAAAGCTGTGGTTGTAAGCATAGCACTTTCTGTGAATTCTGTGAGTCATTCCAGCAAATTATCAAACCCAAAGGAGTAGTGGGAGCCAGCAGGTAAGAAGTGAGGGAGCCCAGGGGGGACTCTATAGCTTGTGCCTATTTGGCAGTCAAAGGACAGTGTCCTTATATCTTGTGAGATCTGACCTAGCTCTGGGTGGCTAGGGTCAGAGAAATAACTGCCATATGGGTGGCTGGTGTCAGAACTAAACAAAGAAGTAAAAAGTGGGGATTTGTTATATCCTTATAGTTGAGGACAGAATAGTGGGATTCTGAGGTTTCCACACGATGCAGTTGGCTTCAGAAGTGGGATTACCACTCTATGCAACGGCCTCTCAAAACTGCCCCCAAACCAGCTCAATCCCCTATCCTCAAAGTTCCCCCACCCCACCACCTTCAACCTACTCCTACAGGGCCCTCACATCTCCCCTTACCTACTCCACCACCTTCCCTTAATGAAATCTGCTGTTCCCAGATGGCCC